GTCTAAAAGATAACTATTAAGAATACTAAGTTTCCTGAGTTGCTATACATAGATATATACGGCTCCAGGTGGAAGCTCTGAGACATACATTTCTAGCTACCGTGTGTGGCAGGTTTGCGGAGTAAGTGTTCATGAACACAGGTTTGTACTGAAGAGACTTCAAAGCAGCTGATGATTTATTTGAACACTTCTGGCTTGAAGGTTTAGGGGAAAAGTATCCTTAGAGTAAGCGGATAGAGAACTGCTTTGACAGTCAGTGGTAAAGTATTATTTTCTTGGAATGAATATGAACTTTGGAGCCAGAAGTCCTGTTTTAAAATCCAAATCTGTCACTTACTGGGAATGACTTAGGGCAGATCACTACTTTCCTTTCATCAGGAGTTTCTTTCACTGCCAAATGGAGGCATGATTTATTCTCTGTCTACTTAAAGGACATCTAGGAGGGTCCAGATGTATACTGTGTATAAAAGTGCTTTGTAAACTGTAAAGTATTATACAAATACTCATAATTACTATTATTTTAATAACCATGAAAATAATTTTTTTTTTAGTCATAGTAGTTGAAGTCTGAACTTTCCATAGTGTGTGTATTTATAATAGAATAGGAGTTTCAGTGATTAAAAAAAAATGTGATTCTCCTTTCCAAGCGTCTTGTGTGAGTAAGGTTAACTGCTGGAGGATACAGAATTCAGATGGTACCTTGAGTCTTTCTTTCCCAGACTGGGTACAAACAAAATGAATAAGAAACTTTCAGATTTACTCTGTAGCGAATGAGGGAGACAAGGTGTAAGAGGATGTGTTTTAAGCTGTGAAAAGGTCTAAAATCAGGAAAAGTTTTCCTGAAGGTTTTTAGAAAATTAAGAATGGGTTGTAGCATTTTGGACATGGTTAAATTTCATTCAGTAAACTCAGATTTTGTTAAAATACTGTGTAGCAGTTAAGAAGTACCCAATTATTCAGGATAGACACACATTAGTTCAAGGCTTTCTCATTAGATCTTTTGATCAGTGTTGTGTAGTACTTACCAGCACAGGTTTTTGTGTCAGTCTTGAGTTTTGTGTTCTGGCATTCCTCTTTACTGAGCATGTGATCTTAGGCAATTATTAAATAACCTCCATGCCTCAGTTTTCTCTCTTAAAATACTCAGATGATTTTGGCACCCACCTCATAAGGCAGTTGAGTGAATTAAGTAACATACTGTGTACAAAGCACATATCACAGCTGGAGATGTAACATAGTGCTCAATAGATGCTAACATTTCATACATTCATTTAGCAAATATATATTGTATGTATACATGGCATGAAGTGTTTTAAACATGAACTTCTTTAATTTGTATTCATAAGTGTTCTTGGTTATAAGTGACAGCCAGGCGCAGTGGCTCACGCCTGTAATCCCAGCACTTTGGGAGGCCGAGGTAGGCAGATCATGAAGTCAGGAGTTCGAGACTAGCCTGGCCAACATGGTGAAACCCCATTTCTACTAAAAACACAAAAATTAGCTGGGCATGGTGGCGCATGCCTGTAGTCCCAGCTACTCGGGAGGCTGAGGCAGGAGAATCACTTGAACCCAGGAGGCGGAGGTTGCGGTGAGCCGAGATTGTGCCACTTCACTCAGGCCTGGGGAACAGAGCGAGACTCCATCTCAAAAAAAAAAAAAAAAAAAGGAAACCCAATTTAAGTATAATGGATTTTCCCCAGTGTTTGTAGCTGGGATAAACCAGGGGTGTGGCTCAGTCTAGGAAATCAGATGCTCCCGTTGGATGTCTGTCTCAGCCTTTCCCTTTATCTCTCCCTCCCTCCACTCTCTCCTACTCACCTTACCCTATCTCTTCCTGTCCTTTCTCCTCTCCATTCCTTGTTTCTCCCTTTGGGCTGGAGGAGAGAAGCTGCTTACTTATAACTAAGTACTTGATTATTGTTGAATTATATAATTCAAGTCTTATTTTTTAAAAGAACGAGCAAGTTATATGGTGCCAACTTGATCTAAGCATGTTTAATGTTGTACATCTCCATTAAAATGTGAGCTCTGGGAGTTGGGGAGCCCCACTATCCATTCATTCATTGTGTGGTTTAAATTTTCTTTTTTATAGAGATGGGGAATTGCTGGGTTGCCCAGGCTGGCTGTGAACTTCCGGGTTCAAGTGATCGTCCCGTGTCTGCCTCCCAAAGTGCTGGGATTATAGGCATGAGCCACCGTGCCTGGCCCCACCAGTCCTTTAACTAGCATGTCTCTAGTGCCTGGCACAGCATTTGGCATGAGCCTGGCACTTGGTAGATACTCAGTAAACATCTGCTCAGTGAACAGTCTTACTGAAGGAACTCTTTATTTGAAGATCAAAAAACAAAAAAAAAATCTAAGAACATTAGGGATTAGGCAGCTTGATAGTATTTAATGATACATTGAATTAACAGCCCATGGTAATAAGTCATACTGGTTAATTTTTCTGTTTAGTAACTTTAGACCTAGTAATATGTTCTAATTTCAAATGTTAAGACTTACTGGGTGGTGTAAAGCTGCATTATTTTGCTATTTTGTGTAGAAAAAATACTCTTAGAATTAACCATAGTTCATTTTGGTTTTAATTGCTTTTTCTAGAGAAATTTGTCCTTTACATAAGAAAATACTTTTTTTTTTTTTTAAAATTTATTTATTATTATTATACTTTAAGTTGTAGGGTACAAGTGCATAACGTGCAGGTTTGTTACATATGTATACTTGTGCCATGTTGCTGTGCTGCACCCATCAACTCGTCATTTAAGGAAAATACTTTTATAAATACTCTTAAGTTGAAGTAATAAAATTAGCTGCATAGGTTATTGATTAGTTTTAGGCATGTCTCTCTGTGTGTGTGTCCGTGTGTGTGTGTGTGTGTTGAGACAGAGTCTCACTCTGTTTCCCAGGCTGAATGCAGTGTTGCGATCATGGCTCACTGCAGCCGCAACCTCCTGAGCTCAAGTGATTCTCCCACTTCATCCTCCCAAGTAGCTGGGACGACAGGTGTGTTCCAATATGCCAGGCTAATTTTTGTATTTTTGCAGAGATGGGATCTTCCTATGTTAACCAGGCTGGTTTTACACTCTAGGGCTCAATCAATCCTCTTGCCTTGGCCCCCCAAAGTCCTGGGATTATAGGTGTGAGCCACCATGCCCGGCCATTATATGTTTCAAAGATAGTGTTGTTACTTTGGGAGGCCAGCACAGAAGGATTGCTCAAGCCCAGGGG